CCCTCCCTCACCCCCCTCCTCCTCTCTCCTCCCCCTCCTCCATCCTCCCTCCTCCCCCTCCTCCCTCCTCCCCCCCCTCCTCCCTCCCCCTTTCCCCCGCTCTCCTTTGCAAGTGGTGCTGGGCCAAGGCGTCCCCAAGCGTCTCTCCTCGTGCTCCCTCCTCTCCCGAATCACTCAAACAGGATGTCCCCGCCCCGCCTTTGCTGGACCCTCGCATGGCTCTCGGTTTTGTACACCTCTGCACCCGAATCCCTCAGGCACGTAGCGGTTTGGGCCCCATCGTTACCGTTTGGCCCACCAGGCGAGTAAGGCCCACCCGACCCCTTTCCCTCCTCAGGCTTCCACCCAACGCGTGGCGAGGGCGGTTTAGCAGAGCAAATCAGGCCGTAGGAGGCGGTATATTGGTCAGGAGACGTGCTCCCCCCCAAAACGATCCAACCTCCTCCTCCTCCTTCCTCCTCCTCCTCCTCCTCCTTCTCCTCCTCCTCCCTCCCCAGGCTCGAAGGCTTGTCAATCGACTGTGCGCTCGCTCGCCGTGCTTGGTGCCGAGACAGCCCACGGCTCGTCTTTGAGTTTTGAGGGGGGCGCTGCAAACCCGCGCAGGGGTTCATGCAGGCCCGCTCGGGCTGGGATACTCCTCCCTCCTCCCCCTTCCTCCTCCTCCTCCCTCCTGGCTCCTGGCTCCTGGCTCCTGGCTCCTGGCTCGCTCCTACCCCCTCCTTCTTATCCACCCGCGTGGCCTGGAAGGCACGCCGGGCCACGACTCCAAGAGCTCCCTCTCCTCTTCCTCCTCTTCCTCCCCCCTCCTCGTCCTCCCTCCTTGGAAGTTCTCACCCGATGGGGGCGCGCCTGGAGGTTCTCGGAGCTTGGACCTCAGACGTCTCTCTCTCTCTCCCTCTCTTCCCCTCCATGGCGTCTAACCCCCCCTCTCCTCCTCCTGCCCCCCCCCCCCCCTCCGTAGCCACTTTGGCCCTCAGGTTCCACCCGCGCCCGGCGCCTCCCGCAAGGAGGCAGAGCATCACCCGCTCGCCCCCCGGCCGAGCCCGCAGAGAGGTCCCATGGCGTTGGCCTTCGTCGCCTCGCCCGCGGCGCCCGCGGCGCCCGCCGCCCGCCCGGGCCCAGCACTCCGCCCTGCCGCCTCGGGGCCCGCCGCCGAGGCCCCGAGGGCTCCGAGGAGGAGGGCCTCTTGAGGGGGGGGGGGGGGGCCCTCGCCCTCCACGGCCGGACGCAGCTCGGCAGATGCTGGTGCGCTTGGGCCCCCGGCAGGGGCCCGAGCGCACCGATGTCTTCCGATGGGCTCGTTTTCCACGACCGCCACCATAAGTTGGAGGGGGAGGGGGTCCTCCTCCCCCGCCTCCTCCTCCTCCTCCTCCTCCTCCTCCTCCTCCTCCTCTTTGTCCTCTTCCTCCTCGTCCTCCACCTCCTCCCCCCCTCCAACTTATGGCGGTGGTGGTGGAAAAGCGGCCCATCCTCTTCAACTGCCGCTGTCTCCGCCTGCCCCGCTCTCCCGAGAGGTCGGCGTGGCCGCCAGCCTCACGTCCGCCGCGTGCGCCCTGGCGGCCGCCGCCGGGGCGGCCTCCGCCGCGGGCCGCCGCCGCGCCGCGGCCGCGCGGCCCGCGGCCGCCCCGGCCCTGCGCGCCTTCGAGAACGAGCTCGGCGTGCAGCCACCGACGGGCTTCTGGGACCCCGCAGGCTCTTAGTTGCCTCGATACGCCCGCTTTGAAACGCAACACGTCCCGTGTTCAAGACGTCCGTGTCAGTACGTTGCGTGTTGGCTCCACGTATTGGACCACGTTTTGGCGAATGTATCGCGTCGGGCCTACGTCTTCCGTCTACGTGTTGAGCTCCGTATCAATACGATACGTGTTGCGTGTTGCGCATCGGGGCAGCTAAGCGCAGGCTACTGCTCGGACGGCGACGCGCAGGAGTTCTACCGCCGCCGCTGCGTTGAGATCAAGCACGGCCGCGTCAGCATGATCGCCTGCATCGGCTACATCGTGCCAGAGTACTTCAAGTGGCCTGGCTACCTCAGTCCCTCCGACGGCATCAAGTTCGCCGACGTCCCGCACGGGCTTGACGCCATCACGCGGGTGCCGGCCGTGGGGTGGTTCCAGATCGTGCTGTTCGGTCTGTCCATGGAGTTGTTCGCGGCGTACCAAGACCCCACCAAGCTGCCTGGCAAGCTCAGCTCCCGTCTCGTCATCGCCCTGACCGAGATCAGGAACAAGAGCATCGCGGGCGGCGTCAACAACAGCGGCTACGAGTTCGGCCCCTTCGGAATCCCCAACGCCCCGTCCATCAAGGACCCCGAGGTTCGCAAGCAGAAGCTGAATGCCGAGATCGCGAATGGCCGCCTCGCGATGGTCGCCATCATGGGCCTGATGTTCCAGAACGGCACCGTCGGCACCACTGGCCCGGAGATGTGGCTCGGCGCCAGCGCGACGGCGCGGGGCACCCCCGATCAGGTGTGTGGGAGGTGGCAGAGTACATGCCGGTCGTTGAAAGTAGGTATCTTTGGGTTCCCAGGTCCCAATCCACTTCAAGTGCCTTGCTACTTCAACCATCGATCCGTTTTTGCCGTTTGTTGTTATCATCTGGGAGGGCTTGAGCCCAGTCTACTTGATCCGCCCTCGAAGGATTGCAAAAAAACCAAGGATTGCAAAAAAAAAGGATTGCAAAGGATTGCAAAAAAACCCATCGGTTTTTTTTTGCAATCTTTCTCCATGGTTTTACCTACTTCTTCCGACCGACGTGTCTCGATGACACGCCGCCGTGGGGGAGCCCGTCAGCGTGCCGCCCCGTCGTTGGTGTCCGAAGGCCTGGCGCGTCTTTTCCACGGTGGTACGCCGACGGGTTCCTGGCGGCGGCGTGTCGTTGATGCTCTTTCCAAGGGCTCCCTCGAGGGCGCGAAGTTATTCGCGCTTCGCGCTTCGCGGTCCTCGTTCCTTCTCCTCCTCCTCCTCGTCCCCCTCTTCTCCCCCTTGGGGGGCGGCGCGAGAGCGCGAAGTTATTCGCGCTTCGCGCTTCGCGCAGCGCGAAGCGCGAACTTAGGAGCCCTTGTCTTTCTTGCTCCCCCAGGTGTCGTACGGCGCGGGGATGAAGCCGAAGACGAACATGTCCCCGCGCCCAGAGTATCTGGATGACGGAGAGTCGATGCCAATGCCAGCGCTGCCCCCGCCTGCCGGCAGCGCCCAGGCGAAGCTCCCAATGGCCCTGCGGGGCACCGGGGGGCCCTTCCCCGACGACGTCTGGGACCCGCTGAACCTCATGGAGGGCAAGAGCGAGGAGCAGCTGCTGCACTGGCGCGCCGTGGAGCTGAAGCACGCGCGCGTGGCCATGCTCGCGGTGCTGGGCTGGTTCCACGTTGCGACCGGCTGGCACCCCGTCGGTGACGCGGCCGCGCGCATGCGCGTCTCGGACGACCCTCTGATCAACTACACCCAGCTGCCAATCGGAGGCGCTTTCCAGGTCGTGTTCACCATCATGGTCACGGAGTGGCTCTTCCTCTACGTGTGCAAGCCGCCGAAGGAGGCGCCCTGGGACCTCGTCGGCTGGACACCCACGCTGGTGGCAGACCAGAACCAGCCAGAGTGGAAGGAGAGGCAGCTGTTCGAGTTGAACAACGGCCGCCTGGCCATGGTCGCCTTCTTCGGCCTCGTGTTCCAGGACTCGGCGGCGGCGAGCGAGGGGGGGAAGTCAGAAGGAAAAGGCCTTCTCAGAAGGCGGTGGGACTTCTCAGAAGCCCTTGCGCCTTCTGAGAAGTTTTCTGTGTCTTCGGGGAAATGGCGTAGAACCCTTCTCATACTGCTGGAGGACTTCCGAGCCTTCTGAGAAGGCCCGCCCCTTCTCATTTCCCCCCCTCGCTCGCCGCCGAAGGACATGGCCACCGGCGACTACGGCCCGTTCTTCGGGACCCCGAGCGCCAGCGGCGTGGCGAACGGGGCCGGGAGCTTCGACGGCCTCGAGCTCTTCCCCGGCGTGCCGATGCCCAAGAGCCCCGGCGGCCTGACCCCGAACGTCTACCCGCCGGTGGGCTTCATGAGCTACGACCCGCCGCCGCTCTGAGAGCAACCTGGCTTCGGAGGCGGGCCAGCGGCCGGGAGGGCCATGCGTCCATGGCCGCCCAGATGGGGTCGGAGCAGCCGGGGTCGGAGGATCGCGCCGCGTCGCCGATGCATCGCCGATGCGGCTCGGTGCGGAGCCCGATTTCTTGCACGCGACCGTCGCCGATGCATCGCTGACGTCGCCGATGCATCGCTGGTGCATCGCCGATGCATCGCCGATGCGGCGCGATCCTCCGACCACATCTACTTCGACCCCATCCAGGCGGCCTCTAGGCTGGCGGCCGGGAGGGCCCTGCGGCCTGGCGTGGGCGGGAGTCGCCTCACCGGCCGGTCTGGATCGGCAATCTGCTGCGAGCTGGTCCTGGCGCCGCCCGATGCCCTTGGCATCGCTCGGACGTGTGCATGTGTGCTCGGCGAGGGCCCTCGGGGAGCATCCTGGATCATCGTGGGCAAAAAAGACATGCGCGAGATCGAAACATGCACGGGGAATGGACGTCCGAGCGATGGCGAGTGCCAGCAGGCAAAGGCGCGCCTGCCCCCCGCGCGCGTCGGCGTCGATGCACGGTTTTTTTGTTCGCAGACCGCAGCAAAATCTTGGCCGAGAGAGCATCCGGCAGAGCTGTGGCCGAGGTTCTCGGCAAAGGTGAGATGCTGCGAACAGTGGGAGACAGTGAGAGTGCAGTAGATACCCATGACATTGTTTAGCTGACATCCTCCCTGCTCCATCCCGTTGGCCCTTCGATAACTCGTCCCTGTCGCACCCCCCAGACGTGTCGGCAGGGCGGGCGTTTCGCCCGAGACATCCTCATCCTTGATGACCCTGGAGCTTGAAGCTTACAGCAGTTTCACGGAGGGCGGGCGGGCTGTTTTCAGAATGTGGCTCGCTCTTTTTTTTGCGCCGCGCAGCCGTTTCGAGGATGGGGCGGGCCATTTCAGATGCGGCTCCTGCCACAGCGCCGCGCGCACTCGTCCCGGAAGCCTGCAGCAGTTCTGAGGATGCAGCCGGTCCTCGTGGAGAGCTGCCCCGCAAGCGGCGTGGACCAGCAAGCGGTGCTTCCGCTGCTCGTGGGGTGTCGCCGCAGGGGTCCGTGGGAGGAGGAGGAGGAGGAGGAGGAGGAGGAGGAGGAGGAGGAGGACGAGGAGGAGGAGGAGGAGGAGGAGGAGGAGGAGGAGGAGGAGGAGGAGGAGGAGGGGGAAGAGACGACGACGAGAAAGTGTAGGAGGGGGAGGAGGAGGAGGAGGAGGAGGAGGAGGAGGAGGAGGAGGAGGAGGAGGAGGAGGAGGAGGAGGAGGACGATGACGGAGGAGGAGGACGAGGATGATGATGATGATGATGATGATGATGATGATGATGATGATGATGTGTGATGATGATGATGATGATGATGATGATGATGATGATGATGATGATGATGTGATGAGGAGGAGGAGGAGGAGGAGGAGGAGGAGGAGGAGGAGGAGGAGGAGGAGGAGGAGGAGGAGGAGGAGGAGGAGGAGGCGGAGGAGGAGGAGGAGGAGGAGGAGGAGGAGGACCCCCTCCCCGTCCTACTTATGATGGCGGCGGCAGGGCCTCTGCAGCATGCGCTCTTGCCCTCGCGCAGCGCACGCTCGCCTCGGCGGCTTTTGCGGCAGCTTTGAGCACGGAGGGCGGGCAGCTGGCCAACGTGTGGCTCTCGCTTTAGCATTAAGTCGGGCCTGTGCCTCTACCGGGGGAATATCCAAAAATAGTAAGAAAATTGCCTGGCGACTATTTTTTCAATATGTTTGACTATTTTGGCGTTTGTTTTGAGTATTTGTCACTTTTCGTCGAGAACCCCTCTGTAGGGGGACACGCCCGACTTAACTTTAGCGCCGCGCGCGTTCGTGTTTCAATCTTGCAGCGGTCGCAAGCATGGAGGACGGCTCCGTTTCAATCTTTGGTTATCGATTCAGCGCCGCGCAAACTCGAAACGTTCGCCGCAGGTTTGACGATTTGTATGGTTGAAGTCCCAGGCACGGTGCTGTAGCGCGACTCAGGGTTACCGGGACGCAGAAGTATTCTTGATGCTCGGTGTTGACGTCCAAGAACTGGTGCACAGGCACGATTTAGGACTGTCAGGGCGCAACCGTCACGTCAATTCGCGTTGTTGAGGTCCCCGGGATTGTTTTTTGAGAACGATTGAGGGTTCTTAGACGGTTGTCTTCAAATGGACGGTTGTCTTGCTTGGTGCTTCGCGTATTCCTACCAGCCCATCCTGGAACGATGCCCAGGGAGCTGCCCTGCTCGCGGGGGCACGGCATCATGTGTAGAGTTCGTGGAGCCTCCTTGGGCCAGAGGCCTCTGGGCTGCCCCTCGGAGTCTTATGGGTTGTCCCTCCAGGTCTCTGGGGGGCTCTTGGGCCCTCCTGGGGGCCTCTTCTCGGCTCTTCGGGGCCTCTTGGGGTGCCTTGGGGGGCCTCTTGGTGAGCCCTTGGGCGTCTTGGGGGCCCCCTCGGTTTTCCGAGCCTCTTGTGACGTGTTGGGTGCGCTTTGGTGGCCTCTTGGGGCCTCTTGGGGGCATCTTCCTCTTGGGCGCCTCTTGAGGCACTAGGGGCTCTCTTGGGAGCGTTTGGGCCGTCTTGGGGCCATCTTGGAGGCGATCGATCAACAAAAGGGGGTACTCAATTGGGCCGCCCCTCCCCTTGGAGGCCTAAATCGGCCTCCCAAACCTTCATGACTGTTACCTTCTAGACGATGCCCTCTTGGACGCTCTGACCGCTCGCGGGGCGCCCCGTCCAGGTTCAGGGGAGGGGGTAAGGGATGGGGTAAAACCCTCTCCGAAGAAAAAGAGGGCAGATGGAGGAGGAAACGCGCTAGACCACCTCTACCCAGATTGCTAGTGGGATTCTTGGAGGGACCTGTGAAGAGGGAACTTTGAGGTAGGGTTTATTGCAGCATCGTTGATGCGTCTTGGATTAACACTGGTCCTTCACTCCTCCCCTCCGCCTCCCGCCTACCCCGTCCTCCCTTATTCCTCCTCCCTCCTTCCTCCTCCCTTATCCAGGACAGTTTCGGCTCAGACAGCTTCCACAATATGCTCCGTGGCCCGGGTGGCACGGCGCGGGCACCCTTCTTCCCGCTTGTGTGTGATTCGTTCGCTCCATTCTTGTCGGCTTACCGGAGTGACAGCGCGGGAGTCGTATCGTTCGATGCTCGTTTCGGGGACCTTCCTGGAGCCCACCTAACGGATCTGTTCGACCCCAGTTCGACTCAAGTTCGACTCAGGTTCGACTCAGGTTCGACTCAGGTTCGACTCAGGTTCGACTCAGGGTCGACTCAGGGTCGACCCAACTCGACTGACGTTCGACGTAGCTTCGACGCACGAGTGGAGCGAGTGGCTCCAGGAAGGTCTCCAGAACGAGCATCCAAGTATCGCACTTTCGGGTTGTTGTCTCGGCGTCTGTGCTAGGTCGATGCCGTCCTGCAACAGCCGTCCTGGGAGCTGCTCCAGGCCGTTGGTGTTGCACCTCGCTCCCGTGAGCTGGACGTTGCTCCGTCGACATCGGGCGTTGCACGCGCGCAGGGGCCGAGCCTGATGTGTCAGGCTCGCGAGCGCCATACTTTGCGAGACTGTCAGCTTTGCTTCTCGCCACGTCGTGCTCGACGTACCGCTCTGTTCTCGCTGATCGTTGTCATTACTCCAGATTTCGTGATAAAAGGGAGGGGGCCACAACCCTCCCAGACGAGAAGTTTTAGACCCCCCCCAGACCATCCATGAAAGGGCGGCCCTTTGTCCAGACCCCCCCGAACCCTCCAAGACAGCTCAAATCAGACCCCCCAAAAAATGTGACCCCCCCCCACTTTAGCATGGAATCCGGAGTACCTTTGCCATGCTGCCATGGCAAGAAAGGCGACGTGGCTACGCATGGGAGGATCGGTGCGCAAAGGAGCTGGTCGCGGCATCGCTCCAACGTGAGTGCTTCGGAGCTCAAACCTGGTTCGAGCCCATGGACGGCGCCCTCCCCAGTTGACCTGACGGCGTCCCTCGATGCATTGGAGGTTGCTCCGCGTCTGGCCTTCCCTGCGCAGGTTTCCTGTTCGCAGGCAGAGCTTCGGGCGTCATCGCAACATTCGCAGAGCCACGACGCAGGAGTCCACGCAGTCGCTGAACCTGGCCGAGGCAGTGGACAAGCAGACGCGGTGCACCCCTCCCAGCTCCGCGGCGGCGGATTTCGGTGACTCGGTGCCGCAGCGTGTCGCGCTGGCTGATCCATTTGAAGAGTCTCAACCGGGTCATCCAGAGGATCATGCACACGACCCGTTGGGATCCCTCCGAGCATCTACATATATAAATATACACACACACACTCCACCTTTCGTTTTTGCCATCGCCACTAGTCGTCGTGCACAGCATGTCTCGCGCTTCCTGTGGCGTTTGGAGTCGGCAACTGGTTGCTTCCATGCGGTGCCCATTACAAAAGCCCTGCTGCGTGTTCGGCCAGTCCACGAACTGCGTCTCATACTTGTTTTTTGTTCGGTGCCATTCTCTTCTCTAGCTCGTGGCTGGATCGCCCAACCTCTGACCGAGCTTCGGGATGAGCGTATTGACCTGATCAGCGACCACCGTGATGACCTGTATGAGTTTGCATCGTGATCTTGTCGTGCTTGCTTAAACCCTGGTCTGCAGCCCCCCCCCTCTCGCGAGCATATCGGCGCGGGCGACACGTGTTGTCCTCGCCGAGGAGCAGATCGCAGGGGCCATTCGCTAGCTCAATCAGGATCGGAACGCATCCACGTAAGCAGTACAACTCTGGGAGGGGCTTTCTTCCTTTGTTGTTCCCACCACCGAGCTTCTGATCTTGCGTGGCCCATGCGGTCTCCTAACAAGGAAACCAAATTTGTGCGGTGACCAGATGGCGGAGGTCAGTGGCATGCGTGAGGGCTTGGCCCAGAGCTACGCTTACGCAGGTCTCCCCCCGCCCGGCCGAACCGCGAGCTCCCCCTCTGCAAAGGGCTTCTTCATCTGCACTGCGCCAGGGGAGTACCGTCCCCTCCCCCTCCCGTGCCCCCGTCATCCTTGTCCCCCCTCCCTGGTCCCTTTTTTATTTGTTTTTATGTGTTTGTTTTTATGTTTGTTCTGTTTGTATATTCTGTGTTTAATTTAGCTTTGGCTTAGCCTTAGCTTAGCTTTAGCTTAGCTCTACTGTTACTACTAATGCTGCTTTCCTAGGGGTTCCAACTCCTAGGTAGGGTCGCACTGGGATAATGTTTGTTTTGTTTGTATTTTGTGTTCAATTTGTTATGTTATTCATTTACTTTTTTTATTTGAGGCTCCCCCGTCCCTTCTCCTCCCCCCCTTCCTCACTCCTCCTCCGGCCGCCTCTTCCCTCCTCCCCCGCTCCCTTCCCCCTCTTCTGGACGCCCGAAATGGGTACTGAAAGAATGGGCACTATGCCCAACAGCGGATCTTGTTCATTTGAACAAGATCCGCTGTCCACGCCGCCGCGGCTTGTGTCCATTCGAGACAGGAGGCCGCCCGCCCAACAGCGGCCGCTGTTGGTTTGGGACAACATTTGCTGTTGGGCATAGTACCCATTTTTTCGGTACCCATTTCGGGCGTCCAAGTCTCTCCTCCCTCGCCCCATGCCCAGGGGGTGTGCCAAGGCCCGGGAGGCGCGCCGTACGAGCCCGCCCCCTCCTCTCGGGCCGAAGGAGAGGGGGGGGATGGGGAAAGGGGCGGGTTACGACATCTGCTGCGTGCCGCTGGTTTCGGCCCCGCCGCCGGGCCCACTCCTCGACACATCTGGGCGCCTCCCGGCGCCGGGAGGCGCCGGGAAGATCCGCTGCGTGTGCTGATTCTCACCCCCCCCCGTTCCTGGCATCGCTGGGGGCGTGTGTATTTTTCCTTCGGCGGGGACCATCGAGGAGCATCCTTGATCGTTTGGCGAAAAGGCCACGCACGAAACCGAGCAAAACACAGGGAATGGACTTCCGAGCGGTGGCGAGCTTTGCTATCCTCCTCCTCCTCCTCCTCCTCCTCCTCCTCCTCCTATTCCTGTTCCTCCTCCTCCTCCTCCTCCTCCTCCTCAGCTCGAAAGGCACGGGAGGCGCGTCTCCACGAGCCCGCCCCTGCCTCGGCCTCCGACGCTTTCTGAGGCGAAGCCGCCGTCCCTGACCTCACCAGCCTGGAAGATATCCCTATCCTTACTCCAGATTTCGTAATAAAGGGAGGGGGGTCTCATTTCGGGGGGGGTCTCTTCCAAGCTATATTGGAGGGCCTGGGGGGGTCTGGGGACGACGTTTTGGAGGGTTCTCCCACGGGGGAGGTCTGAAATGGCTTGTCTTGGAGGGTCCAGACCCCCTCCCTTTGATTACGAGATCTGGGGTATGCTGGGCATTTCCAATCTTAGGGATTGCCTTATTTTTTGAGGGCGCATCCCTAAGATTGTCGTCGCTTTTTGGCGTGTCGATCTTAGGGGTAGGGATAGGTTCGAGGCCGGTAGTGACCCCCCCGACGACGTGTTTTTTTCATGGCAGCGACCCCCAAAGGTCTGGGCCCCTTCCCGGGGACCGCTTGTTCATCCTGAGTTTTCCTCCCTCCTCTTCCCTGCCTAATTCAAGCTTCGCGCGGCCCGCTTAGCTTCGATCGGAAGAGGTGCGCTCTCGACCCGCGGATCAAAAAAATTGTTCATCCCGAGTTGGGCTTTGCATAGAATAGGGGGGTCATAAAGGGGGGGGGGGCGGCGAGGGTGGTCCGAAACGGCACCCAAACGGCACCCAAACGAGCCCCCTGGGGCTCTTGAGGGGCCCGACAGGGGCACGACAGGGGACCGTTTCTGACCCCACCATGAAGGACCCCCCCCCTTCAACCACGCCCAGCTGAGTCGTTTTCGTACCGTCGCGAGGCCCGGGAAAAGGGCCCCCGGAGGCCAGGCCTGAATCTGCAAGAGGGGAATCACAAGACGGATTTGATTCTCGAGGTGCAAAAGCCCTACGGATTTCACCTGAGCCCTGCGCCCTGAGAAAATGCTCAGCCACAGCGCGAGGAGGTCTGGGGTGAGGGGGGGAGGCCCGAGCCCCCGACCCCATCCCGAGGCCGTGCTCCTCGAGGCGGGTGGACCCGTGACGGCCCCAGGGCCGGCAGCGGGGCAGGGGAGGAGGACACGTCCTCACCTCCAGGGAGAGTCAGGTCGGGCATGTCCCTTTGACAGGAGGAGTATCCATCAAGACTAGCCCAAAAATAGTATGGGGACAATGTTGGTGCTATTTGTGACCATGTTTGAGCGTTTTTGTTCTGAAATTTTTCGTTTTTCTTACAGAATCCGCCTGTAGGAGGACATGCCCGAGCTAAAACGAGAGGCCTGCCTGGGATCTGGTGCCTCCCACGGCAACCTCTCCTCCTCGCATGGGTTCCGGGGACCCACATACTAGAGGAGGCAAAGCCAATGCCGCTTCCCTTGCCTCATTTCCCCTTTCCTCTTTTCTTTAATCGTTTGGCGCGGAGCGCCACCAGCTTATGTTTATGGCGTTTTCATTCTTCTTCTAGAAAGGGTGCCGATGCCGCTACCCTTGCCTCGTTTTCTCCTTTTGAGCCTCGTGGGAGGCCCTCGTCGCCACCGCCGGATTTGCTTCGAAATCCTGGTCAAGGCGCACTCTGTGGAGTAAGTAGCGGTATCGGTACTTTTTTTGGTTTCCCCAACCGAGGTACGTGTGGGCGTGGGCGACAAATAATCGCCCCTTGGCTTCCTGTAACAAGACCTCTCATCTCACCTATCTAGTGCAGATTGTCCACTCTCCGAGGTTGCTCTTGGCGCCAATTCCGGCTTGATCCAGTGCGTCAAGGGGCCTCAGCCCCTCATGTTCCCGCTCTCAGATCGACGGCCTCGCGGGCCGGGCCCTTGGGCCGCGACCCCGCGGATATGGTGCGTTTTGTTTGCAGGTTTCCCGCGCGGACCGTATCCGTGCGGCCGCGTATCCGCGGGATCGCGCCCAGAATCCAGACCGCGAGGGCGTGGCTATGGATATGTTCGCCGCTCGTGATCCGATTCTCCGAACAATGCCCAGAGTAGAGACTGTACTCCCGCGCGCAATGTACAGTCAACTTGCATCGTGAGGATGAGCAACTCTCCAAGTTTGCCCTTGCATCCTGCCCCTTCGGCCTTTCGCTGGCCGCGCCCCGATCGCAGAGTGTCGACATGGACCTCCAAGACCCTTGCATCCTTATTCCCAGTCTCCCGACGTCGTGATTCTTGCAGGACGTCGACCCCCAGAGCTCTGGGCCACTTCCCCGGGACCGGCTTTTCGTCCTGAGTTGTTTTTTGACGGTCCCGAGGCCCGGTAAGGGCCCCAGTCGAAACCAGTGAAAAACCTCCCGTCAAGATTTTTTCGTAATTCGAGGGGGTTTGGGCTATGCATCCTTATAATACGGGTTGACTGTAGCTCGGGCCTCCGAGCTCTCCGAGGTTGCCAACGAGCCCTCTGCGGGCTGCGACATGGCCGCGCTGTGCGACTGGTACGAGGAGGCCATCGGCGCGATCAGAGCGGCAGGGATGGACGCCGGTCAGGCGCGCACCATGGGGGAGCGGGGAGAGGGGGGAGGAGGAGGGGGAGGAGGAGGAGGAGGAGGAGGAGGAGGAGGAGCAGGAGGAGGAGGAGGAGGAGGAGAAGGAATAGGAGGAGGAAGATGAAGAGGAATATGAAGAGGAAAAGGAAAAGGAAGAGGAAGAAGAGGATGAAAAGAAGGAGAAGAGGAGGAGGAGGAAGAGGAGGGAAAGGAGATCCCCTCCAGCTCCTCCCTGTGGAAGCATGCCTGATTCGACGTAGTAGGTTTCGCATGCGGACGAGCCCTCCGTTTCATATGCGGCTCAGGCCCAAAGAGCATATCGGAGGAGAGCTGCTGCCACCGTCGGTGGCGGAGCGGGGTTGCCCTGCCGAGCGGCCCATGGGAGCCTATAGGTCGCGGCGCCCCGCCTCCTGGCTCTCCCGCGCCCTCGGCGAGGACCCCGGCTCTGAGGTCCGCGTGGCGCGGCATGCACGGCATGCCCGAGGAGGGCGACACCGACAAGGACGTGTCGCTGGCGGTGCTGCCTGGAGCGGCCCGTTGAAACTGGAGGCTTCCGAGGTCCCATCGAGCCCTCGTGGAATTGCGGGTCAAAGCGGCCGATTTCGGAGCCCAAGTGGGTTTGTTGTTGACACGATGGACTGTTGTGGAAGCGGGAGGTTCTCGGCTTTCCATAAGGGACCACATGCACGCTGCAAGTCAAAACTACACATTCATGTGGAAAGTGGTGGGTGCGTTCGACTTCCCATCAGCACCGATCTCGCATTGCAGTCCAAAGCAATGGGTTTCTGTGGGAGCTGGAAGCTCTCGACTGCCCATAAGAGACCCATTGACATTGCAGATGAACGCACTGGGTGTCTGTCGAATGCGGAGGCCCTCGACTCCCCATAGGAATCCATTGGCATCAGCTTGTTTGAGCATGGAGTTCCGTGGGGACTGGAGGCTCTCGATTTTCCACCGGGACGCCATTGCAGTTGGAATTAAGCACGATGCATTTCTGTGGAAACTAAATGGCCCCAACTCCTCACAGGAACCCATTGAACCTGCAAACAAAAACAACGACTCTCTGTGGGCCCTCGACTTCCCATAGGAATCCGCTTGACCCTGCAATCCAAAACAATGGATGCTTGTGAACGCAGGAGACCCTCTTGATTTCCCATAGGGACCCCATTGACATAGCATTTCAAAGTCATGGATTCTTATGGAAGCTGGAGGATCTCGACTTACCATCGTAACCCACTTGCATTTGCACTAACAAATAAAAGGATGTTGTGCAAACTTGACGTTTTCGAATTCCCACAGGAACGCCATTGAACTTGCAATTGCGCGTGATTGATTTCTGTGGGGACTGAAGAATCTAGATTTTCCATCGGGACCCCATACAAACTGTGGCTTTCTTTTGTTTGAAATTGGAGGCTCTCGACTTCCTAAAGGAGGCGAATTGAAATTGCAATTTCAATCAATCGATGTTTAGTGGAACTGGAGGCTCTCGATCTTTCATGGGAACACCATTGAAACTGCAGCCGAAAACAATGGATTTCTGTCGAAGCTGAAGGCCTTCGACTACCCATGGGAATATCATTGAAATTGCAATTTGAAGCCATGGATGTTTGTGGACTCCGGAGGCTCTCATCGGAATCCCGTTGCAATTACAATTCAGGAGCAACAGATTTCTGTGGGAATTGGAGGCACTCGACTTGCAAAGGGATCTCATACCATGGGCTTCTTGTCAATCTGGAGGCTAGACTTTCCATATGACCCCCTCGTAAACTGTAATTCAACATTTGTCGTTCGTTTCGCAGTGTTTGCTTGCCCGCGCGTCTGCAAACCCACACCTCGCAACTCACTCGGGAGTGGTAATGCAGACCAGTTGCAGCCCTGGTAGTAGTAGTAGTAGTAGTAGTAGTAGTAGTAGTAGTAGTAGTAGTAGTAGTAGTAGTAGTAGTAGTAGTAGTAGTAGTAGTAGTAGTAGTAGTAGTAGTAGTAGTAGTAGTAGTAGTAGTAGTAGTAGTAGTAGTAGTAGTAGTAGTAGTAGTAGTAGTAGTAGTAGTAGTAGTAGTAGTAGTAGTAGTAGTAGTAGTAGTAGTAGTAGTAGTAGTAGCACGGAAGAAACGAAAAGGGGAACGAGGTTGGCACACCAGATTGACAAAATTAATACGCGGAGGAGGAGGAGGAGGACGTTGTGAATGAGGAGCGTGGGTGGCTTCCCCGATGGCGCAACGCAGCTCACCGAGGTAGCTCGGAGCCCCACGGGCTTACCCTTGCAAGAGCTCCTGCAGATCTGTATTCTTCGGAGGCGAAAGCTGATGTGCCCTTCCATCACACAGTCGCTGACAAGTGTACGGACGCCAGCCACGGATGTGTTTCACTCGCCTGCATTTTGTTTGGGAGTTCGCAGGCTCCCCTAAGCACGTTTGCAAATCTTTCGGTCCGCCCACCAGAGAACAACACATCACACTTGCCACACAAAAAGACGCTGCCAGTGCGCAAAAGAACATGGCGGCGCAACGGTGGCTGCAGTGGGGGTCTATCACCCACCACCCACCAAACCACTCCAACCCAACCCGAAGCCCTCAATTTGCCCTCCATTTCCAGTGGGGGGGGTCGGGGAACGTTGAAAAACACACATGGAACCCGTACCCCCCCGACCCGGAATTCGGGTCAAATTCGGGTCTTCGGGTTGGGTTGGGGTGGCTTGGTAGGTAGTCAGTCTGGGGGACAGACGAGAAACGGGCATTCCTCGCTGGCGCCTGTCTGCATGGCATCCGCTGGAGGGTTCGCCTGCCCTAGAAGCAGTGCGCGCGCCTTCCGCAGCGCTCCAGTTCTGACATATCCAGGCATGTCGTCCCCAGAGAGCGGAGTGAGGGGAGGTCCCAGGAGGGGGAGGGGGAGGGGGAGGGGGAGGGGGACAAGCTAGGTGCGCGCGCGCGTCATATATGACATCCTACCCCTCCTCCCATCCCTTACCATGGCGTAGATCCCCTCTCTACTCGCACAGTCGGATGTCGAGCAGGGCACTGGTCCCGACAGGGTACGCGATGCATTGTAGAGCACGGCATGGCATGGCGTAGGAGAGCACCGCAAAGCGTAGTATGTCACAGCATAGCGTGGCGTGGCGTAGTGAAGAATTGCATCACCAAGCTTTGCAACGCAAAGCATGGCATCGCACAGCGGCCCCGAACATAACATTGAATAGCATGGCGTTGAAGATCAAAGCGTAGCATGGCATAGCACGACGTGGCACTTAAGCACTGCATATCACAGCTTCAGCTGAAGGCATGGCATCGCGCAGCGGAACGCAACCTAGCATCGCATCGCATGCTGTGGCATGGCACGGGAAATGACGCCAGCGCTGCAGCGGGAGCACGATTCGGAACGAGCGGAAGCGCGGAAATGAGGCCAGCGCTGCAGCGGGAGCACGATTCGGAACGAGCGGAAGCACGGAAATGAGGCCAGCGCTGCAGCGGGAGCACGATTCGGAACGAGCGGGGCCCGAAAATGAGGCTGGCGCCTCAGCGAGAGCAGCATTTTGGACAAACATGCAAGCGAAAACCCAACTCCGGGGAATCCTGTGTGTAAAAAAACAGTACGCGGGGGGGGCGAACACTCCCAACCCGTCATCAGGGGAAGGAGGAGAGTAGTATTCATATTGAGTAATTGTGGAAGGAGGAGGAGGAGAGGAGGAGGAGGAGGAGGAGGAGGAGGAGGAGCAGGAGGAGGAGGAGGAGGAGGAGGAGGAGGAGGAGGAGGAGGAGGAGGACGAGGAGAAGGCCCATCCCGCCCGCTGCCTCACCCGCACACCCACCACACTAAGGTCGTGGCGGCCAGTAGTGTCAGCAAACATGGCAGCATGCATTGTGAGGCTTGTCGCACACGTGCACATAGTGCACGAATCATTGGGCCGCTGGAGCCAGACTGTCTCAAGCCAGGCTTTGACATCATCCAGGGCCGCCCCCGCTTTGGCCTCGGAGCTGGCCTGGGCATTTCCGATGAGAGGCCCTCGAGCCCGCGGGGTCACGGGCTGAGTGGGGCCTCGCCCTGACCACTTCGAGCGCGCGAGGTTCCGCAGACGCATGACGGCGGCAGCGGCGCCTCGTGTACCAGGCTCGCCCACGCAGGAATCTGTCGTGTACTGTGCTGTGCTGTTGCCCGCGCCTGCTCTGAGCGGCGTGGACGCATGCCCAGACGCACGCCCAGGCGTGGCGCAGCACCCGACGCACGCCCATCCACATTTCTCGGAGTACACCATGCCGAGCAGCCGCAGTCCCCCCCAGGGTGCCCCGCCCCGCCTTCCCGCCCCTCCTCAGCTCATCGAACTCGGACCTCCCAGTCGAGCTTCTGCTTTTCTGGGAGGCGCAACGGTTGCGCCCCTTCCCGCCCCTCCTCGGTGACAAACCCAACCCCCCACCCATTACTCTTGCACCCCGGGGGGCAACTCCCAGGGCCGTCTGAGTGTGCACACCCTGACCAGAGCAGGTCGTCACCGAAGCTGGATGGGGGCCATCGACGGGATGGGCCGCGAGGCCTCGAGACAGCAGGAGGGAGGCGTCGGCGAAGGCTGGCACGCGGACAGATCTGATAGATCTCAGGCACTTCCTCCGCCGCCTCGTCACGGGCAACATTGAGGCCTGGGCAGCAACAACATTTGTGGCGCTGGGTGCTCCGTGGTGCTTCGCGCAGCTGGCGCTCGCGCAGCTGGCGCTCGCGATTGTCGCTGTGGCACTCTTTCCAGACCGGTTCTTGGGTCCAGAATGACATGCAAACAAACGCAATGATGGCCTGCTGGCGGCTTGGCTTCTTCTTCGTTTGCCTGATGGCAGCGCGGATGGGTTCGAGAAGCGGGCCTCGAGTGAGCGCGTGGCAGGGTGGCCACCAGGGTCTTGAGACACATGGGAGCGAGTCGCTTGCGGAAGTCCAAGAGGGCGCACGAGTGGGTGAGGAACGTGCGATATGCCGGCCGAGTCCACCCAAGACGCTGCAGTGAGGCCAGGACGGCCGAAGCGGGGCCCCAGACCTTTCTGCACGTGTTTGCCAGAGGTTTGGCGGCCAGCTTCTTGCCAGCGTGGTTCCAGCCTGCTTTGAGATCTCCCAGGGCCTCGTCTGTCAAGCACCGCGGCGGGTTTGTAGAGAGGTTTAAAGGTAGCTTCGACAGCGGGGTCGACAAGGCGCAGCTACAACCGAAGGGATCGCGGCGCCCCGACGACCACTCAATACCAATTCTCTAGCTCTATTGAGCTTACTCGGGTTCATGCCCACAGAGGCTGCACCGTAGGCGTGGGAGGGGATGAGGCCGCACTTGACAACATTGCCGATTCGCGCCCCGTGTTTGACGTGGGGCGATTATCTTGCGCCAGCGCCTGTGAGCGGTAAGTTCTCTACCCCAGATGCGCCCTCGGAAACGGACATGTTTGTCTCCAGCACTGTCCACACCTAGCTGCTCGCTTCTCTTTTTTTCAGTTCCAGGCAGAGATGGTCCGCCCAGTGGCGACAGGCGTGCCTGGTGGCAGGGACTGCGGCAAGGAAGGATGTGTGCCTCGCCTGCAGGCTCGCCCGGCGCGCGACGGCGAGAGGCAGGCATGCCGTCTCTCTTGTGTGATGTGTGAGCTCCACCTTCCGGGACTTCGCCCCCGGTACCAGTCCGCGGCGCACCTGCTCCTGCACATCCACTTCGGCACCGCCTGCACCCCTGGGCTTCGCCCACCCCGGCCGCCCGAGGCCCCGCCTTCCTGTGCCCTGTCTCCCCAGTTGAAGCTGTGCGCAGCCCGCCCAGCTTTCCGCGGCAGAGGTTCGCTCTCGCGCCGCCGATCAACAAATCGTGTGACGCGTGAGCCGATGGCGCCCCCGAGCTTCTGCGCCACACCTCGGCGATCCGCACGCCGCAGGAGGCCGAGGCCGCCCACGTGCAGCGTGATGAACACGCATGGGCTGGCGCGCCGTGGGGCGGCCCCCGACCGGCACGACCACCGCCTCGATAAGCGCACCTCTGCCGCCCGTGCTGCTGGCAGCCGCCGCCGAGGAGGCGGGTCCTGCCCGGGTGGTGCCGGCCGCGCCTCGCGGAGCCGGCGGGGCGCTCTCGCGGGGTGCAGGCGGAACGCCTGCGTCCCGCGCAGCGGCTCGGGGAGCGGGGCCTCGTCGGCGCTGCCTCCCGCCAGCAGCCTGTGAGTACATCGAGGTGCTCTCGAGGGCCGCTCCAGTCAGGAGGGAAAGAACACACACACACACAGACACAATGAATCGTCGATTCCCCCGAAAATATAGGAAAATATGGGAAGTGGGGGGAAGACAAAAACCCCAAAAATTCAGGAAAATATAGGGAATCCTGTTATTTGTGTCTCTTTATTTGTGTGTCCCAGGGCCCCTTCATCCAGGTCCAGCACTCCCGTCACAGCGGTGGCACTTTTGGCAACGTCCGCGCCGTCGTCCACCAGCATCTGGTGCCAGACGGCCTCCTGTGGACTCACCTCCTGGGGCCGCCGCGTCGCAGGGTCGCTTGGTCAGATTCTCCCCCCTGCGTGAAAAGGGTCAGCGTGGGCCCTCTCCGCCACACGCATGGGCATCGGCAGCAGCCCCAGCGGGCGGGTACGCCCTGCGAGAGAGGACCAGCATGGTGTGTGTGTGTGTGTGTGTGTTTGTGTGTGTGTGTGTGTGTGTGTGTGTGTGTGTGTGTGTGTGCGTGAGTGTGTGTGTGTGCGTGTGTGTGCGTGTGTGTGTGTGTGTGTGTGTGTGTGTGTGGAGGATGATGGGGAGCAGCAGCAGAAGGAGGCAGAGGAGGGGCAGAGCTGGACTCTGTGCAGGCGTGCGTGGTGCTTCCCATCTACTGGTACGACCGCCTGGAAGAGTTCCTGCGCGTCTGGAGCTCCGCGCCTCTCCTTCACCTCCCGTCGCTCCTCCGGGCTGCAGCCGCCGCACATCTCCCGACGCTGCGAGCTGCTGTTCGCAACTTCGACCCGTGGGAGCTCTTCTCGGCCCCGGGGACACAGGAGCACGGTCGACGAGCAGCGGGTTCTCGGGACGGGTCGAGAGCTCCAGGGATCCACGCTGGGAAAAAAAAACCATCAGATGCCAGGGAAGGCGCTGCCGTTCCACACCTCTTGGCATGTCTCCATCTGCACTTGTTTTCTGGCGGACTGGCGAGATCAACACCGATAAGTTCTTATCAGTAGAAGCGGGGTCACCGAGACGAGTCCCAAACCAGAGCCCACAGAGATGGATGATACGGGTGAGAGTGGTGAGTGTGATGACGACGACGACGACGACCATGACTACGACGACGCCGACGACGAGGAAGATTGCGAGGACAGCGGTGTTACCAGTGATGACGATGATTATGATGATGATGGTGATGACGATGACGATGACGATGACGATGATGATGCTGATTAGGAGGATGATGCTGCTGATGATGATGGTGCTGATGATGTCTGTGAGGATGGTGATGATGCTGATGGTGATGATGCTGATGGTGATGATGATGATGCTGAGGGTGATGACGGCGGTGGTGATGGTGATGATGATCATCATGTTGATGATGATGGTGGTGATGATGATGATGATGATGCAGATGGCGGTGGTGTTGATGATTTGACGATGCTGTTGTTGTTGATGGTGGTGATGGTGCTGCTGCTAGGGATGATGATGATGATGATGATGATGCTGGTGATGATTATGATGATGATGATGATGATGATGATGATGATGATGATGGTGATGATGATGATGATGATGATGATGATGATGACGATGCTGATCACGCTGATGGTGATGGTGACGATGATGGTGATGGTGATGGTGATCGTGATGATGCTGATGCTGATGCGGAAATTGATGCGGATGATTCTGATGCTGCTGGTGTTGAGGATGATCATGGCGAAGATGACGATGTGAGTGCTGATGATGCGGATGGCTACGAGGACGATGGTGAAGGTCAGCGTGATGTTGATGATGATGGTGGCGGTGATGAATATGTTGAGGCTGACGATGATGCTGATTATACGGATGATGAGGATGGTGGTGGTGGGGATGGTGATTACGATGATGCTGAAGATGATGATGATGTTGATGCTGCTGCTGATGATGATGACGATGATGATGATGATGATGATGATGATGATGATGATGATGATGATGATGATGATGATGATGATGATGATGATTATGATGATGATGATGATGATGATGATGATGATGATGATGATGATGATGATGATGACGAGGATGCTGATGATGATGATGATCTCGCTGCATCCGCGCCTCCTGGCAGTCGATCATCCCGCCGCCCACGTACAGCCCGTGGGCTCTTTTGGCTGGCTCGGGGGCTGTTTGGGCCGTCTTTGGGCTTTCTTGGGCCGTCTTCTGACACTCTGCGGGGCCTGGTAGGCTGTCGTGGGCCGGTCTCGTGTGCTTCTCGGGCCGAAGAGGCGAGAGCGCGACCGTCGTTCGGCAGCTTACATCAATATGCTTTGCCTCTGGAAGCCCTCTTTTGGGGGTCCTCTGTGGGCCGCCTTGGGACGTCCCGAGGGAGTCCCGGGCAGTCGTGGGGCCGTCTCGGGAGTTGTTGCGGCCTCTTCAGCGTGTTGGAGCGCTTCTGGGGCCATCTAAGAAGGCATTCTGGGCATCCTGTGGCCCCCATGCGTTCCCGCCACTCATGCGGAGCAGCCTCTCCTGGGCCAACCCCTCCCCCATCGGACAGGTCGAGTCGCCCTCGCCCCCCTGTTGCCTTCCCGTGCCCATCCTTTCCCCGTTCCCCCTCCGCCTCGACATGCCCCTCCCGATCGCACTCCGCCTCCCCATCCGTCTCCCCTCCACGCCCCTTCCGCTCTCCTTCTTTCTCCTTTTCCTCCTGCTCCTCCCCCCCTCGTCTGCGCACCCCGCGAGCAGCGTTCCCGAGGAGTTGGAGGGGGGTCCTCCCTCCCTCCCTCCCTCCCTCCCTCCCTCCCTTCTCCCTCCTCCTGCCTCCTTCCCCCTGTTCCGTCCTCCCTTCTCCTCCTTGTTCCCCTCTTCCCGCGTCCTCCCTCCTCCTCCCTCCTCCCTTCCTGCCTTCCCGCTGCTCAGCCTGCCATATGGCAGGGTGCCCCGCGGAAATTTCCTGCGGTACGAGAACGTGGTGCTGGACTTCCACTTCTACCACTGCTTCGGATCGGCCTTCCCTTGCCATCTGCCGCCGGCCGCTTGCCCTTTGCCAGGTTACAGTCGAGACTGATGAGTGGGTCGACCCTGCAAAATCAAGGCTACCCCTGTGTCCCGAGCTTTTCGCGACCCATGCCGCCTTACACTCCTGTGAAAAATGAGGCCTCGGAGGGGTCTCGTGTCCTCTCGCGTGCCCTCTCTACTCGGCCCCGGCGGTGCACCTTTGCAGGGAGGCCGCAGCCAGCAGCGCCGGGCGAGAGAACGCTCGACGCCGCAGGCGCGGCAGGGGCAGCCCGCACACGCGCGCCCGGGCGGCCGCGCGCAGCGGAGAGCGCAGGTCGCACCGGCGGCGGGAGGGCGGGGGAGGACGGGCGAGCGCGGCCGCGGGGAGGGCCCGGCACCGCTCGGGCGTGTGCCTCTCGCTCTCGGCATGGGGCCCTCGAGGAGCACTCCGGGCCGCCGTGGCCCTCCGAGGGCGCTCTCGGGAGCCTCGGGGACGCTCCTGGAGCCGTCTTGGACGGCAGCGGTCCAAGAAGGTCAGGAGGGAAAGAACCACACAGGCACAATGCATCGTCGCCTCCCAGGACAATATGGGGAACTGTGGGAAGTGGGGGGGAGGACGAAAACCAAGAACATATGGGAAAATATGGGGAATCCTTTTCTTTGAGTGTCTTTATTTGTGTGGCGCAGGGCCCCTTCAAAGGGGAGGGTCGCAGTTCGCCCTGCCCCTCGCACGCGCGCACGCGCGCGCCCGCCCGCGCATGGGCACCGTCTTTGGTGTTGCGGGTTCTGCGCCAGGAGTCTTTGAGTCGGGCCTGTCCCTCTACAGGAGGAATATTCAAAATTAGTCCAAAAATAGTATGGGGACTATTTTTGATTATTTTTAAACCTTTTTGGTGTATGTTTTGGGTATTTGTTTATTTTTCGAAAATCCCCCTGTAGGGGGACACGCCCGACATAACAGGAGTGCTGGTGCTGGTGCACTACGGAAAACGAGGCCCGAGCAATTGTTCTAGGCATTCGTGGAGTTCTTCCACATGCTGTGGATGATGGCCATCATCTTAAGGAAGCCGCCCTGACCCTCGAGAGTGCCCAAGGTCGCCTCTCTTGGGCCCCTTTTGGAGCACTCTTGGGGCGCTCTTGAGCTCTCTTGGGGCCGTCTTTAGGGGAACGAGACATGCCATAAACATAAAGACCCGGAGGTCCGCGCGGATTTCTTGGATCCGCGCTGGACCCCCCTCTTTGGCGCGCGGAGCGCGCCAGGGGCGCCGCCGGAGGCGCCGTCAGGGGGCCCCAGCGCCGACCCGAGAAATCCGCGCGGACCTTCGAATTATTATTCTTCTTCTTATTATCATTAAGATGATGATGATGATGATGATGATGATGATGATGATGATGATGATGATGATGATGATGATGATGATGATTATGATGATGATGATGATGATGATGATGATGATGATGATGATGATGATGATGATGATGATGATGATGATTATTATTATTATTATTATTCTTATTATTTTTCTTATCATTTTTAATATATATATATATCTATAATATATATATATATTATTTCCTCTTCCTAATATTTTTATAAGCCCGGGCGGGGGGAAAACCCGTCACCCCCCCCCCCCTCCCAAAACCGGACTCCCGGGATCTGGGGCTTTGGAACCTTCCGGACGGGCCTCGAAGCGGCCCCCCGGGCCTCGCAGGGCGTTTTGACAAGGCTTCGCAGCACACCTGGGGCGATCAGGGGGGTCATCGGAGACGTCCCAGAGACCCCCAAGACAGCACAAGAGCGCTCCAAGAGTGACCGACGTGACCTCAAGATGGCCCAAGAGGCCTCCAGGACGGCCCCAAAGAGACCTCGAAGAGCACTCCCAAGAAGGCCCCAAGAGGCAAAAATCATTAATTTTCTGTTGGTTTTTGGCGAATTTTGGGGTTCTCCTCTTTTCTGCTTCCCGACTCTCCAAGACGGCGGTCTTCTGGGCGTCCGAAGCCGCCTGGGAGGCTCCAAAATCGCCCCACAACCATCCGAAAGGGCTTCCAGGCAGTCCAAGAGCCCCAAAACGGCACAACACGGGTCCAAGATGGCCCTCAGAGAGCCCCATGGCGGCCCAAGATGGCCCTAAGACACCCTCCGAAGCATTCCAAATCGTGACCCGGTCGTTCAGGGAGACCGCGGTTGGAGGCAGGGTGGTCCGAGGAAGCCCCCAGAGGCCCCCAGAATACACCCAGGAGGCCTCCTGAAAGCATTGAGAAAGCCTGAAACAATTTTTGTGAGGCCCCCAGAGGCTCTCCAAGGAGGAGCCTCCGCAATAAAGAGCTGAGGAGGATGGGGAGAATGCGCAGGGTATTGCGAAAATGAGGAAAAAGAAGCATGGAGGAAGGATAACGAATCACATTATTATAGCGGCGAGGCCAGAAAAGGCAACAAGGAGTTATCGCTAAATTGTCGGCTTGACCTTCCTGCTATGCCGCCAGCATACCACACTTCAAGGACCAAGGTGCATGGCGCGAAGCGCCACTGCAGTCTTGTATATATATATAGATATATATGTTTATGCCATTATTCGTTCCCCTACGGTGGAGTCCCGACCACACGGAGCCTTCCACACGAAACCCCCGAGACCCCAGGACGTCCACTTATCTTTGGGTGTGGGAACGCCACGCCTTCACCGCAGGAGCATCGAGGCCCAGGGCACCCAGGGCACCCTGCAGGCGAGCAGGGTGCTCCCTGGCACGGGCCCCCGCGGCGTGCCGCGTGCCGCGCCGTGCCCGCGTGCCCGCGTGCCGCCGTGCCGCGCCCGGCCTCAAGAGCGGCCCCGCGCGCATGGCGCGGCAAGGCGCGGCTAAAACGACACGAAGATCGGGACAAAATCGGATCGGGATAACTCGAAATCTCTGAGAATCAGCGGGTTTGGAGGATGTATCGGGCGCCGCGGCGCTCTGGAGCGATTTATCCCGATCCTAGCCCTGTTTTACAAGGCGTGGCGGACTTGCCGCACCCGCAGAGCGAAGACGCCGTGCGGCACACCTCACGGCGGGGTATCTTTCGCGTTCGCACGAACGTAGGCGCAGCACGGCGTCGCACGCGTGCACGGCACGGCGCGGCGCCGCACACGTTTTTGCACCCGATGGCTCAGGACGGGTTCTTCTGGATGCAGTTCGGTCGCCCTGCAGCAGTCGTTGCCTGGGGACAACGGGTGTGAGTATAGTTGGTGGCAGTTTCAGGCCTCAGAGCTCGGGATAGTTTGCTGGGAGTTGTGTGGCACGGGTGGAGGGCAAATTCCTGGCGGTTTTAAGCCAGAGGCCAGTTGTCGGCAGTATGATGCCACGGGGGTGAGGATGTGGGAGTATTGTATTGTATTGTCATCCTGAGGGGATCTTCTATTGCATTGTCTCAAGAGCAATGCGCGGCCTTCTGGTGTTGTTGGGCCCCTGGGGGGACAGCAACGGGACATACCCGCAACGGGAAGCGGGCACCCTGGATGGAGTCGAGAGCGTTGGTCCCCCAGCCATGTCGGCCACGATCCAGGCCCAGCGAGGGCCTGCGGCGGCCTTCGTGGTGGCCTGGCCCGCTGGCCCCACCTCTCGTTTTTGTTTGTTGGTGTCCATTCGCAGCTGCCGCCCCGCCTCCTCGTCTGCGTCTCCCGCTCCGTCTCGCTTCCCGCTTCCCTCTCTGCTCTCCCTCCTCCCCGCATCCTGCAGGTACGCTCCCCGCCCCTCCTCCTCTGTCCTCCCCTCTGTCCTTCGAGGGATGGGGCACCCGCGCCAAACTAGCGCCTCCTCCTCCTCCCCTCCTGCTTCTCCCTCCCCCCTCTCAGGAGGATGTCGAAGAAGAGTGGGAGGAGGAGGAGGAGGAGGAGGAGGAGGAGGAGGAGGAGGAGGAGGAGGAGGAGGAGGAGGAGGAGGAGGAGGGGAGGATATCTGCTCCTAGAATCAACCTGGCAAGCACCACCCCCGCGCGCGCCGGTGCCGGCTGGGAGCTGCTGGAGCACCAGGAGCACGTGCGCGTGGTGCAGCGCCCGCGCCCCGGGCGGGCCCCCGCGGCGCTTCTCTTCCTCCTCCTCCTCCTCCTCTCTCCTCCTCCTCTTTCTCCTCCCTCCGTCCTCCTCCCTCTCCTCCTCCTCCCCCTCCTCCTCCTCCCCCTCCTCCCCTTCCTCCTCCTCCTCCTCCCCTCCTCCTCTCCTCCTCCTCCTCCTGCTCCTGCTCCTCCTCCTCCTCCTCCTCCTCCTGCCTCCTCCTCCTCCTCTTCCCCTCCTCCCCCTCCTCCTCCTCTCCTCCTCCTCCTCCCTCCTTCTCTCCTCCTCTCCTCCTGCTCCTCCTCCTCCTCCTCCTCCTCCTCCTCTCCTCCTCCTCCTCCTCCTCCTCCTCCTCCTCCTCCTCCTCCTCCTCCCCCTCCTCCCTCCTCCTCCTCCTCCTCCTCCTCCCTCCTCCTCCTCCTCCCTCCCTCCTCCCTTTTCTCCTCCTCTTTCTCCTCCTCCTCCTCCTCCTCCTCCTCTCCTCCTTCTCCTCCTCCTCCTCCTCCTCCTCCTCCCCTCCTCCTCCTCCTCCTCCTGCTCCGCCTCCTCCTCCTCTCCTTCTCCTCCCTCCTCCTTCCTCCTCCTCCTCCTCCTCCTCCTCCATCCTCCTCCCTCCCCCTCCACCTCCTCCTCCCCCTCCTCCCCCTCGTCCTCCTCCTCCCTCGCTTCCCCCCGCGCGGGGCCCGCGCGGGTTCTGCGCGAGGCGCGGGGGGGCCGCGCCGCGCGCCTCCGCGCACGGGCGGGGGCGCGCGAGCGGGCCGCGCCTTTGCCTCGGAGGCGACGGCGCGTTTTTTTCTTCCCTCCCGCCGCGCTCTCTCACACACTTGTTGCGTCGGCGGCTAGGCAGAGGGCGACTGCGCTGGTGACGAGAGGCTTGCACGGGGATGCTGTTAGAGCGAATTGTGTCACCATGCAAGAGGAAGGACGCGGCCGAAGGAAAGCGAGGACGGTGCGGGCGGCTCAGGGGTCACACTTCTCGCACCGGGAAGTTTTGTTCCGACACTCCGAGGATGATGTGGCTCTCGCCTTAGCGTCGTGCGCATTCGTTTATGATAACACTGGGGGTTTTGGTGTTACCCCATAATGTTTCTGAGAGATCCCCGACACATCTCAGTCTAATTTTTTTGTTCAGGTCCTGGCTTCATCTTAGCCCTGGGGATCCCCAGCGCCCCGTCGGTGTTGAAGGTGCCCTGGCTCCCCACCCAGTCAGGGGTGACGTCAGAGAGGGATAGGCTCCGTCTGGGGGGATGCATCGATCCCCAATCGGCCATTCATCGCCGATAGGGGCCCGATAGCCCACCCCGCTCAGGATCAGGCGGATTCGCTATCGGGGGCCTATCGCCGATCTATCGGCGATTCATCGCCGACTCCACGTCGATCTTTCCCCCCGAGCCAGTCTACCCCTATCGTTCCCCCTCGCCTAGACATAGGGCGGACTGTTTTCCGTGGGTCCCGGCACTGATTCTTCATCTCTGCCACCAGGGGGCCCTTTTCGGGCCCCAGGGCGATCAGAAGTGGATTTGGGGCGGACAAACCAAGTCGGGCTTGCCCCTCTACAGGAGGGATATCCAAAAATAGCAAAAGAATAGCCCGGGGACGATTTTTCTATTATTTTTGATCATTTTTGGAGTATCTTTCATTTCTCGCCCAAAATCCTCCTGTATGGGGACGGGCCCGACCCAAAACTGCTCCTGGGGAAGGAGCCAGGATCTCTGAGGCCCGCGGCTGATGAGAAGCGGCCGATCGGATGCCCCGGGAGGAGGAGGTGGGCGGAGGCGAGGCACCAGGGCGGACGGGCCAGGCCCCCGACGTCATGACTTGTTCGTTGCGTCGACCCCCCGAGGTCTCGGCGCCCTCCCCGGGGCCGGTTCTTCGTCCAGAGTCGCTCTTCTGACGGCCCCGCGAGGCCCCGGAAGGGCCCCTCGGGGCCGAAGGTCATGAAGAACCCTCCGTCGGGACTTTGGTTTCCTTGCCCGAGGGGGTCTGGGGCCGGCATCCCCCCAACATGCTTATACTATGTGCTCGTCGCCCCCCCAGGGGCGACGCGCGCACCGAGAAATCTTGTAGCATATGCGTCGTGGCGGGCGCTTTCTGGCCACACCGCTCGAGGAACGATATACTACAAGACGGGCATACTATATGCTCGGGTCGGACGCGCGCCTCCAAGGCGGACATACAGTATCAGTATGTCTCTGTGCGTCCCAATGGGGAGGAGGACGGCGACGGCGATCACGACCGCGGCGAGGGCCGCACTCAGGCCACGGCCGGATCCTCCGGGCGCTCCCCGGCGCGGTCGTGGGGGAGTGGTCGCTCGCGAGGCCCGCTGCCTCTGCCGGGCGGCGGTGGTCCCCGCCTCGGCGGGAGGAGGAGGCGCTGGAGGGTTCCACCGAAGGGCTTGGGCGACCCGTCGTCCTCTTCCTCCTCCTCCTCCTCCTCCTCCTCCTCCTCCTCCTCCATCTCCTCCTCCCCCTCCCCCTCCTCCTCCTCCTCCTCCTCCTCCTCCTCCTCCTCCTGTTCCTCCTCCCCCTCTTCCTCCTCCTCCTCCTCCTTCTCCTCCTCGGGTCGCCTACGGCCCCGGGGGAAACCGTGCAGGAGGCGCAGGAAGAGGAGGAGGAGGAGGAGGAGGAGGAGGAGGAGGAGGAGGAGGAGGAGGAGGAGGAGGAGGAGGAGGAGGAGGAGGAGAGGAGGAAGAGGAGGAGGACGAGGACCAGCGTAAACCCACGACTAGGGGAACGGAGAATGATGTAAACACAAAAACTCGGATGTCCGCGCGGATTGCCCAGATCCAGGAAACCCGCGCGGACCTCAGTTTTTTTATGCGTATGTCATTATCAGTTCCCCTAACGACGCATCAGTGATGTTGCAATACACCCATTATTAAAAGCCTTTCTCTGCAGGTCCCTAAAGGAAGTTATCTTCATTCCAGGAGGTTGCCCACTGGAAGACAACCGTCTGAGAATCCTCAACCGTGCCAAAGCACCGTTCCTGGACCCCCAGCGCCGCGGGTCAACGTGACTGTTGCGCCCTGACAGTCCTACATCGCTCCAGAGAGCAATTCCTGGGACTTCAGCACAGCGAATCAACATTTACTGTTGTGTCGCGACAGTTCTTACGGTACATCGACAAAATGTTGCACCACCTGGCGCCGACAATAAATCGCATCGCTGTCGTATCAATCGTGTGTCCCCCCCCCCTCCCCCCCGATCTTAATATTGGGTTCGGACCCGGGCTGGTCGAAACAGCTCGGTGGTGCAACATTTTGTCGGGAGCCCCCGGGCGGAGCAGGGGCTCTTCGCCATGCACCCAATATTAAGATCGGGGGGAAAGGGGGGGGCAAGAGCAATGCAGTACAGGTGCCAATGCCCAGCAAACGTGGTGCAACATTTTGTCGATGTACAGTACTTCTCCCCGAGAGGCGTGGGCACGGTGGCTCGTTCGGCCGCCTCGTGGCGGCCTGTCACCGCCAGTCGCTGCCCGTCGCCGCCCATCGTTTGCTGAACATAGATTGCACCGCATAGATCGCTGACACTGCAAGATGGATTGCACCACATCGAGTCCACCACAATAATTTGCTTAGCATAGCTTGCACCACATAGACTGCACCGCATAGATTGCACTACTGAGATTGCTCCGCATAGCTTACACCACACGCATGGAGTCCATGCTGGCTCTAATTCAATAGTCAATCGGCGCCCCCCTGTGCCCCCCTGTGGAGATGGAGACCGTCTCCGCACGATCCGCAGGAACGTATCGGCGCCGACGAACGCAAGGGTTCCTCCTAGAAACATCCAGCACCCCGAAAGTTCTAGGGGGAATGGGCGCCTGTGTTGCCACCCCTGGCCTATCCTCCGCACGACCTTTCACCCCGCATCCCATAATCCTCGTCCCTCTGGCCCGTCCCCTCCCACTCCTCTTCCTCCTCCTCCTCCTCCTCCTCCTCCAGTTCCTCCTCCTCCTCCCCCTCCTCCTCCTCTGCCTCATCCTCATCCTCGCCCTCCATCCTCTATCAACCCTCGATCATCCCCCGAACCTCCATTCTTGATCTAACGTCGAACCTCGATCCTCGATCCTCGAACGAACCTCGACCCTCAATCCTCGATCAAGCTCCAGTCTCGATCCTCGGTCCCCCCTCACACCTCGACCTTCGATCGTCGATCGAACCTCCATCCGCGATCCTCCGTCAAACCTCGATCTTCGAAGGGGTCTCAATCCTCGATCGTCAATCGAACCTCGGTCCTCGATCACGAATCCTTCATCGCACCTCCATCCAAGATCCTCGCACGACCTTCCTCCTCCCCTCCACCTCGCATTCCACGATCCTCGTACCCCTGCTCCAGTTCTCTCCACCTCCTCCTTCTCCTCCTCCTCCTCCTCCTGCTCCTCCTGCTCCTCCTCCTCCTCGTGCTCCTCCTCCTTCTCATCCTCCTCATCCTCATCCTCGTCCTTGTCCTCGTTCCCGTGTCCTCGTCCTCGTCCTCATTATGCTCCTCTTCCTCCTCCTGCCCCTCCTGCTCTTCCGCCTCGTCTCACTCCTCCCCTCATCACTCCACTCACCTCCCTTGATGAGGCGTTGGGCGTAAGATGGAAACGTCGAACGTGTTCAATCCCAAACGGTACATCGACAAAATGTTGCACCACTTGGCGCCGACAATAAATCGCATCGCTGTCGTATCAATCGTGTGCCCCCCCCCCCTCCCCCCCGATCTTAATATTGGGTTCGGACCCGGGCTGGTCGAAACAGCTCGGTGGTGCAACATTTTGTCGGGAGCCCCCGGGCGGAGCAGGGGCTCTTCGCCATGCACCCAATATTAAGATCGGGGGGAAAGGGGGGGCAAGAGCAATGCAGTACAGGTGCCAATGCCCAGCAAACGTGGTGCAACATTTTGTCGATGTACAGTAACCGCGCCAGAACAGAGTACTTGGGACTTCGGCCGCACGAATTCTGCGAACTACTGTCGTAAACGTTGAAGACGACTGTGCGCGGCGCCAAGACGCGAGCAACGTTTTGAAAAGGAATCGCTCTGCATCCTCGAAAGCGCTGCAAACCTGTAAGTCGATTATGTGCGGCGCTAAGGCGGTAGCCACATGTTGAGGACAATCCGAAGACGATCCGCCCTCCATCCGTGAAGCCGTAGCGATTTTTGTAACACCAATGTGGTTGGCGTTGAGGTGAGAGCCACATGTTGTAAAGCAACTGCGCTGCATCCTTGAAAGTGTTGCAAACCCGTAAGACGATTTTGTGCGGCGCTAAGGCGGTTGCCACATGTTGAAGACATTGCAGACGATCCGCCCTCCGTCCCCGAAGCCGTAGCGGTTTTTGTAACACGAATGTGGTTGGCGCTGCGGCGAGAACCACATTTTGAAAAGGACCCGCCCTCCATCCGTGAACCCGCTACACATGTTTTCAAAAACCACATGTGCGCGGCTCCATGGCGAGAGCCACGTTTTTTAGACGGTTTGCCCTGCATCCTGGAAAGTGCTGCAAAATTATAAGACGAATGTGCGTGGGGCCAAGGCGCGAGCCACATGTTGAAGACGACCCGCCCTCCACCCGGAATCCGTCGTAAGCTTAAGATGAGTGCGCGTTGCGGTAAGGCAGGAGCCACATTTCGAAAAGGACCCGCCCTCCATCCGTGAGACTGATGCAGAGTTTAAGCTTCAGGGTCATAAATGATTCGGTGGTCTCAGCCGAACTACTCGGCTTGCCGTACCAGCACGTCTTGGGTCGCGACAGGGAGGTGTAAAAGGGATCCAGGTGGTTTAGGTCGGTGGGCAGTGTTGGAGGAACCGCCGTGCATTTCCTTGGCATCGCCGCAGTCCTGATATTCTGGGCCGTGCGGGCTTCTCCGCTTTTCAGATTTGCTATTCGTCTCTCCCATCCTATATAGCCTGCACTAAAGTGATAAGAGCCCGAGGGTGGTTTTGATCTTGCGTTCTGATTATTTCCCAGCGGGTCGCTGATATCATGCACGACGTTTTACGCCAGCCTACGTTGGTGCAGCGTAACAACGGAGGACCATGATGATAATGATACTGATTATGATAATGATACTGATGATGAGGTTGATGATGATGATGATGCTGATGATCGTGATGATGATGCTGATGGTGATGTTGATGATCATGCTGATGGTGACGGTGAGGATGATGACGATGATGGTGCTGACGCTGATGCTGATGTTGATGCTGAAGGTGATGATTTTGAATGCGATGAATGGCGTTGCTGACGATGTTGATTATAGTGGTGATGATGTTGCTCATGATGAGGACGATGAGGATACTGATGGTGATGATGATGGAGATGATACTGATGGTGCTGAGTATGCTGATGAAAATACTGCTGCTGATGAGGATGGTGGTGATGGTGATGATGCTTATGCTGATGATGATGCTGCTGATGACAATGCTGCGTATGCTGATGATGACGAAGATGACTATGAGGACGATGATGATACTGATGATGATGCTGATGATGATGGTGGTGGCGGTGATGATGATGACGACGACGATGATGACGACGATGATGATGACGACGATGCTGATGACGACTATGATGATGACGACTGCGATGATGATGAAGAGGGGATGATGATGCTGAGTATGGTGATGATGATTATCATGATAACGTTGATCAGGATGATGATGTTGATACTGATGACTATGATGCTGATGATGATGGTGATGATGATGATGATGATGATGATGATGATGATCATGATGATGATGACGGTGGTAGTGGTGATGACGAAAGTGGTAGTGATGATGATTGTGAGCAGGAGGAGGGGTATGGGAGGGCCTCCCCTCCTCCTCCTCCTCCTCCTCCTCCTCCTCCTCCTCCTCCTCCTCCTCCTCCTCCTCCTCCTCCTCTTCGAGTCCCTCTTCCTCCTCCTCGCTCTGGGGGGGGGGCCCGAGTCGCACCTGAGACGTGACGGTTGGGTGGGCCGGGCGTTTCGCGCTCTCATGATACTCTCATGCGCGCTCTCTTTTTGCCTCTGTCTCTCCCTCTCTCGCTCTCTTTTTCTCGTTCGCTACATTTTCGCGGTCCGAATGCACACATTTATTTACGCAAACACACATCACTATAGTATTACGTTATACATATGTACATCGCATTGTACTCGATTTCCCCACTCCGAGAGAGCTCCTAGCACGCCCCACGTGGTTTAAGTCTGCTCAAGACGGCCGCACAATGGCACAAGGTGGCTGCAAGAGCCTATCAAGATGAGTTGTAAACGCTCTGGGAGATCCGTGGACAGTTCAAGAGGCCTTGGTATGGCCCCGACAGCTCCACGATTGTCCAGGCCTCCAGAGAGCCAAAGAGGGTTTAAGAAGGTCCCAAGAGGCCACGCGAGAATGCCACGAAGTCCCAACACGGCTTCGCAAGAGGACCCCGCACCGACCTAGTCACGGATTATGTCTTTGTTGCTTTGATCCCCTGGCAATTTGCTTCTACTCTTTCTATCTTCGGTTGTACTCTTTCCTATGTTGCAGCACTTGTCGACTCGCATCTCCAGCACTCTGTCACCCTACATCCCCCCTGTGCCAACGTTGTTGTATCAGCTGCTTGACTTTAGGATCTTGCCCAGTGCTCACCACGCATGCCCAAAGCGAGGCCTCCACACGTCCTCGCAACGGACGAGATGGAGCTGCAGTTCGCTGAGGCGTGCTGTTTCTGCATTTGCACCCCGTCGCCGAGGTCAATCCTAGAGGTTCCGTCCAGGCACCGCTTTCCTCGTCCTTTTCTCCTTCCTCCGTTTCATCATCCCCGTCTCCGTCCGTCCTCCCTCCTCCTCCGCCTCTCCCTCACTCTTCTCTTCCCTTCTCTCCTCGCCCTCCTCGATCCCATCCTCCAGTCCACTCATCCTGCTTCCTCGTTGGACCACCGCTCCGCGCTCCTCGGTGCGGCTGCGGGGTGGCCCTTCCCCGTCCCAGAGGGAGTTCCAGCAGTAGAGGCCAGGCTCAGAGGCGTTCTGGGCCGCCAGCGGACTCTGCTCAGCAGGGCGGGCTCCGGCACAGCTCTGCACGGCCTGCGCCTCCTGCGCCTGCTGCCGCTGCTGCCTCTCCATCTGCGCCTCCGCCCCTTCCGCTCCGGCTCCCTGGCAATCTGCCGGGTCTGATCTCTTCCATCCGCTGCCCCAGAGTCGGGGGCGGCCCGACCGACCCCTGGCAAGCCATCCCCGCCCGTGACGTCGCCCTCGCCTCGCCCCACGACGCATGTATGCGGCCGGAGGGAAGCTTGAAATGCGAGGACGACGTCACGGCGATGGTTTGCGAGGGGTCGGTTAGGCCGCGCCTGATAGACGTCCCGACCACTTCCCCCAGCGCAAGGTTTTCGTCCTGGATGCGTTGCTGATGGTCGCGGGGCCTGAAAACGGCCCCCGAGAAGGGCCGAATTTGGGGGAGCGAACAATGACTTAAGCATAAGAACTCGGAGGTCCGCGCGGATTTCTCGGATCGGCGCTGGGGCCCCCTGGCGGCGCTTCCGGCGCCGCCCCTGGCGCGCTCCGCGCGCCAGGGAGGGGGGTCCATCGCCGATCCGAGGAATCCGCGCGGACCTCCGAGGAGTTGTGATGTTTATGTTGTTGTCCGTTGCCCTACAAGCCTCGTCAAAAATAAACAGAAACGCAGTTGGAAATCACGACGATCGATCTTCTCGGGCACCTGTTAGAAACTGCGTCCTTCAATGCTGCGGACGGGGTCGTCGGATCTTTGAAGCCCTTGCGTCCACGTCAGACATCTGGCGTCAGCATTGGAGTAGCGCTGACCATACAATCACCGAAAACAGAGTCCCGCAGTTTACTTTTGACGAGGGCTGTAGAACCCGAACCCAGACCCCCGACGTCATGATTTTTTCATGACGCGACCCCCAGAGGTCCGGACCTATTCGCCGGGATCGTTTTTTCATCCTGAGTCGTTTTTTGACGGTCCCGAGGGCCGGTAAGGGCCCCTGCAGAGGCGGGAAATATGGAAAAACCTTCCGTCGTGATTTTTTCATGACTCGAGGGGGTCTGGGAAGGCAGCCCGCCGGGATTCGAAGCGACACCCTCCCGCCGGAGGCTCCGGCCCCTGCTCTCCTGCCGCAGCACCCGGCGCCTGCGCCCCCGCTCCCGCCAACAGCGCCCGCGGAGCTCCTCCCGCGCCTCGACCACGCAGGGGCGGCCGGTGCCGCGGGCGCCCGGCCGCCAGGCAGGGGCCCCCCTAAAACGACGCGAAGATCGGGACAAACTCGGATCGGGATAACTCGGAATCTCTGAGAATCGGCGGGTTTGGAGGATGTATTGGGCGCCGCGGCCGCTCCAGAGCGTTCCGGAACGCTCTGAGAGCGCTCCGGAACGCTCTGGAGCGATTTATCCCGATCCTAGCCCTGTTTTACCCCCGCCTCCCCCGCCTCCCCCGCCAGTCGTCCGGCGATGGGTCCCCCATGCTCTGGAATCGTGTGCCTTCGCAGCGCAGTTTGTTTTCCAGGTTTCCCACGATGTGCGGGCCCTCGGGCTCCCCCCCCCCCACCGCCGAGTCGGCGTCAGCCCAGCGTACTTGCACTGTATGTGCGTCGTTCCCCCAGGGGCGACGGGAGCACCGAGAAATCTCACAGTATCTGCGTCGTGTCGGGCGCTTTCTGGCCACACCGCACGGGAAACGATGTACTACAAGACGGAAGTACTATATGTACGGGTCGGACGCGCGCCTCCACGGAGGACGTGTAGCTTTTGTATGTCCCTGTGCGCCCCGTTTCCCATAATTCGCAGGCCTTCGAGCCACCCCCCAACCTCACCGAAGGGGACCGCCGTCTGCCACGACGTCGCCAATGCGTCGCCGACGTCGGCGGTGCACCGCCGGTACGTCGCCGGTGCATCGCCGATGCAGCGGCGATGCGGCGCGATCCTCCGACCCCACCCACGCGGACCCCGCCTAGAAGGCCTCCAGTAACGCAGTGATTCCAGGTTTCCCACCACTCGCGGGCCTTCGGGCCCCCCCCCACACCGAGGGGGACCGCCGCCTGCCGCGAGACGATCTCTTCCGCCCCGGGGCTTTGCAGCGTCGTCCGCACCCTGCTTCTGCAGGTCCGAGCTCCGTAGCTGCCTGCACGCCCTCCTGTGCGCAGCTGCGTTTTTGCTCCGAGGGGCGCTGCGCAGGCCTGAGGAAAGCTTGAGAGGTCCCTTCCCTTGTCTTCAGGAGGAGAAAAAACACACAGACACAATTAATCGTCGATTCCCCTGAAAATACGGGAAAATATGGGAAGTGGGGGGGAAGACAAAACCCCGAAAATATGGGAAAGTATGGGGAATTATTTTATTGGTGTTTATATATATATATATACATATATATATATATATATATAGATGTATGTACACATATATATATATATATATATATATATATATATGTGTGTCCTTGGGCCCCTTCCACTGTGTCCACCCCGCCGAGGGGGACCGCCGCCTGCCGCGAGGCGATCTCCTCCGCCCCGGCGGTCGGCGCCTCCGTCCTCGAGGCCAGTCGGCCCTCCGAGGGGCTTCTTGCAGCGCCGTGCGCACCCTGCAGATCTGCAGGCCCGAGCCCGCCGCAGCCGCCTTGCACGCCCTCCCGTGCGCAGCTGCGAATTCTTGCGCCGAGGGGCGCCTGCGCAGGCCCGAGGACAGCTTGAGAGGTCCCGTACATGGACAACCTATTCGAACACTTACACATTTGAGGGAGATTCTGAATCACCCCCGCGCCCCCGACATCAGCGTTGACCTCAGCGAAGGCGGTGCTCTGGGGTTCGAGCACTTCTGTCCACTCACGCCCCCCCCGTCGCCACGCCAGCAATATCTGTTTCGGGGGGTCTGGGGGGCATCTTGGGCCACAGGGTTCGAATAGAATGTCCATGTACTGTCCTTTCTCCACTGTGTCCACCCCGCCGAGGGTGCCCGTCGCCTGCCGCGGGGCGATCTCTTCCGCTCCGGCGGTCGCCGCCTCTATCCTCGAGGCCAGTCGGCCCCCCCCGACCTGGGGCCGGTCTGCGGGCCGCCCTCCCGTGGGGCCATCTCGGAGGCGGCCGCGGGGGCGAAGCGCCCCAGCATGGGGGCAGGACACCACACAGACACAGACATAGGGGGCCACATGCGAAGCCTACCCCTGCCCCCCACGACTTCTGAGGGGGAGGGTGGGGTTCACTTCGCCCGGAAGCGGACACAAACAGTCGCCGATTCCGAGGAAGAGCTGGGGAAAAGTGGGGGGAGGTAGAGGGGAAGACGAAGCTCGAGAAGAGTGTGGAACCGGTATGGTAATTATGGGGATTTTCTTGGGCTCTGTGTCTGTTCGCTTGTGGATGGGGACGACGAAGCCCGAGGAAATTTGGGGACTCTTGGGATTTGTGTCTGCTTATTGATGTGGCCCTGGGTGCCTCCAGCTCCTGGCTTCGGCTCCCGGCTCCTGGCTCCCGGCTCCTGGGTCCTGGCTCCTGGCTCCTGGCTCCTGGCTCCTGGCTTCTGGCTCCCGGCTCCCGGCTCCCAGCTCCCGTCAGCCACGCGCAGGCGTGGGGGTGGGGGAAGGGGGGAGGGCTTCTTAGAAGCACCCCTGCCTCTTAGAAGGCGCGGGCCTTATCTATAGATCTAAGGCCGGCGCCTTCCGATAAGAAGCAACCTCCCTCTAAGAAGCCCTCCCCCCTCCCTCTACCCCCTGGGATCTGTTAGGGGACTTCTCGTGGGATAGGTGTCGACATCTCCCCTGTTAGTGGGACTTCTCCGCTGGGCACCGCCGTCACGCTCGAAGGATTCCAGGACGAGGGCCGGTCAGCTCCTGGCTCCTGGCTCCCAGCTCCTGGCTCCTGGCTCCCGGCTCCAGCCCCTGGCTGCGGCTCCTGGCCTCCGGCTCCTGCTGCTGGCTTCGGCTCCTGGCTCCTGCTCCTGGCTTCGGCTCCTGGCTTCGGCTCCTGGCTTCGGCTCCTGGCTTCGGCTCCTGGCTTCGGCTCCTGGCTTCGGCTCCTGGCTTCGGCTCCTGGCTTCGGCTCCTGGCTGCGGCACCCGGCTGCGGCTCCTGGCTGCGGCTCCACCGTCGCGCTCGAGGGGCTCCAGGGACGTGGGCCGAGCCGTCGGCGGAGAGAGAGAGGGACCGGGAGCACGAGGGCTGTGGCGAAGAGCGGGCGCAGGGCAGAGAGCAGTTCCACGGCGAGGAGGAGGAGGAGGAGGAGGAGGAGGAGGAAGAGGAGGAGGAGGAGGAGGAGGAGGAGGAGGAGGAACAAGGAGGAGGAGGAGGAGGAGGAGGTGGAGGGGAGGAGGAGGAGGAGGGGAGGAGGAGGAGGAGGAGGAGGAGGAGGAACAATGGGAGCGGCCTCGCGTGTCTCACCAGCCCGATCCCTGTCAGGGCTCTGGGCTGCCCAGGCTGGGCCCCAGCAGGGCCTCAAGAGGGGCCCAAGATGGGGAACTCGAGCTTCATGTGGAGCCCTCCGCTCCAAGAGGGGCCCCCGGGAGTGTCGATGGGAGCGGCCTGGCGGTGTCTCGCTAGCTCGATTCATACCAGGGCTCTGGGCTGCCCAGGCTGGCTGCAGGTTTCTCAGCCGCAGGGTATCGATGGGAGCGGCCTCGCGTGTCTCACTGGTTCGATCCATATCACGGCTCTGGGCTGCCCCGATTGGCTGCAGGGCTCTCAGCCGCAGGGGTTGCTTCGAAGAAGAAGAAGAAGCAAATGAACACAGCAACCTTGGGCGCGGGGTTTGTCTCGAAGAAGAACAAATAAACACAACAGCCTTCGGCGCTCCGCGCGGATTTCTTGGATCCGCGCATGGGCCCCCCAGCCGCGCCTCCGTTGCCGCCCCTGGCGCGCTCCGCGCGCCAGGGTGAAGTCGGGCGTGTCCCTCTACAGGGGGAAGATTCAAACATTGTCCTAAAATAGTCTGGGGACGATGTTTAGATTATTTTTGAGTATTTGGGGGGTATTTTCGAGTATTTTTCTTTTTCGCCCAAAGTCCCCCTGTAGGTGGACACGCCCGGCTTAACGCTAGGGAGGGGGTCCAGCGCAGATCCAAGAAGTCCGTGCGGAGCGCCAACTGGCGTTTTTGTTCATCGCATGTGACTGCAGGGCTCTCAGCCGCAGGGATTGTCGTGGGCAGCAGCGGCCCTGATGATGGTGGCAGTGTCCTCCTCCCTTTTGCCGTGGACCCCCGAGGCGCAGGTGGACGCCTACGCGGCCGCGTCGCACGGGTGGTTCTTCTGGACGTACAGCGACCAGAGCGACCACTGGGACTTCCGGACGTGCGTCGAGAACGGTCCGCCTGCCTCCTCCTCCTCCTCCTCCTCCTCCTCCTCCTCCTCCTCCTCCTCCTCCTCCTCCTCCTCCTCTTCCTCCTCCTCCTCACTCCTCCTCCTCCTCCCCTCCTCCTTCTCCTCCCCCCTCCTCCCCTTGCCCCTCCCCCTCCTCGTCCTCGTCCTCGTCCTCGTGCTCGTGCTCGTCCTCGCCCGTGGTCGTCTTTGCACGCTCGCCATGACGGATCTGGCGCGATCGTGTGCGATTGTGCGGGGCGCGGAGGGTTCTAACCCCTGAGCCGCCCGCTCCGCCTCTGTTGTCCTTCGGCCGCATCCCTTCTCTTAAGTCGGGCCTGTCCCTCTACAGGGGGAGTATTCAAAAACCGTCCAAACATAGCCTGGGGACTATTGTTTGAGTATCTTTGGGCATCTTTTGAGTATGTTTGGAGTATTGTTTATTCTTCGTCGAAAATCCCCCTGTAGGGGGACACGCCCGACATAATTGTTGTCCTTCGTCCGCGTCCATTCTCCCTCCTCCTCTTGCATGGTGGCACACTTCGCTCTCACGACGTCCCCGTTTAAAACCCTCTCGTCGCAAGCGCAGGGAGCCTCTGCCTAGCCGCCGACGGAAGAAGTGTGATTGTGTGGGGGTGTTGCGCATGAGCGTCAGGCTGCGTTCCTGCGCGGCACATGGGCGTGAGGACAGTTCCCTTGAGCCATCTGAGAACGGGAGGAGCAGGGCGAGAAAAGCAGCAGGAGTGCTACGGGTTCTACGTCTCTGCTGAGCAGAGGCACGGGCATCTGGGACTCAATAGGCACACTGTCGTCCTGCGGTGGTAGGGGTGACGCTTTTGATCCCCCGAAACTCAGCGAGCCGTAGATTAGAAAAAGCGCGGGCGACCCATCCGCTATCACACTGCTGGCTGCGCATTGCGGCACCTTGCCGCCTCCCTCCTCGCACCTCTCCTTAGTCTCCTCGCTGGCTGGTCATCCTCCCAGCAGGCTCGCTTCACCACGGCCAGCTGCATCACCTATGGACTAGGTCCACCATAGCCACTGGCACTAGGTTTCGGCCATCCCATTTTCGTCAAGAATCTTACCCGTTGTCGGAAAACCACTCGTTCTGACAGTACGGATTTTCAGCAAACTGCGACACCAGTATTTCGCCGATGACCGCCTCATACCTCAATATGGGTTCAGGCACCCTTTAAGCCCGCAGAGAGCTTGGTACATTTCTTGGTAGTTCTCGCTGGCAAGCCGCCTTCTTCCTTGTGGCCCTGCTGTGGTTGAGCCTGGAGAAACTCCAGCGCCCAGCTTCCCTCGGCGCTTCGCACGGAGCCTGGAGCGTCTGGCAGTACCCCGTCCCCAGCCTGCCGCAAGTGGCGCACGCCAAAATGCGCTCGCCCGTGCCCCCCCACCTCCCAGACCGGAGGGCACCGACTATACGCCTACACCGATCCTGGCTATGCGGACCCTTGGCCCACGATCGGTGCACAGGCCGTCTCCTGCCCAAGCCAGGATAGCGTATACACTCAAGGGAGGAATGAACATCCCGACCTCGATAACTGGCGTTTGCTAGACGGCCCTGGGCTTTTCCCAAACAGCCCTGCCCTGTTCGATTCCCTCCTTCGGTGCGTTTACTGAACGGCTTCGCTTCTCGGGGTGCCTGTTATGGGAGTAGGGCTTCTGCTTTCTGGTGTAGGTGATCGTTTTCTTATTCATTGTTTTGCCGATCGGCGCGGGCCCTCGCCCCACCCCCGCCCTCCCCTTCCCCCCATGGAGTAGATCTAGGCTGTTTTTGGAGCCTGTGTCGAGCAAGTGGCGTCTCGCCCCCCCAGGACGCACTGCTGCAAACAGTCGCAGCAAGCAGAGGTCCGGAGCCGGAGCCCCCCCTCCCCAGACCCCCGACGTCCCGATTTTTTCATGGCGTCGACCCCCAGCAGAAGTCTGGACCCCTTCCCCAGGACCGGCTTGTCGTCCTGAGTCGTGTTTTGACGTTCCCGAGGCCCGGTGATGGCCCCCAGAGGCCGAAAATAGCGAAACGCTTATCGTCATGATTTTTCCATGCTCGAGGGGGTCTGGGTCCCCCTCCCCCCTTCCGCCCGATGTCGAAACGCAGGATACGAACACGCTGACTGTGGGCCGCCATCCTACCCGGCACCCGGTGTGTGGGTGTGCTGCAGCGTCTTCCGCGGGCAGAGCCGCGGGGAGACGCCAAAGGGGGTCCAGATGAAAGGGGGCGGTGCAACAGATGTGGGGCAATTGTATTGCAAATGTATTGCGCCGGAGACCTGTATTGCACTGTATTGCAACTGGTGTGTTGCACGCGAACGTGCAGCAATGCATCTGCGCCCCGACGTGTGCTGCACGCCCCACATGTACTGCAACCCCGCGAATCTACTGCACCAGATCTGTGGCACCACCCCCTCGTCGCTGGACCCACTTTGGGCTCCACCCGAGCCGAACCGCGCCCTGCAGGGGGTGCGGCGGCCGCTTTTCCCTGGCGTGTACTGCTTGGCGTTGACGTGAGGCCCCTCCTTCTGCCTTCCCCCCTCTGTCAATTAAAGCTGTGCGCGGCCCGCTTAGCTTCGACCGGAAGAGGTGCGCTCTCGACCCGCGGATCGAAAACGTGTACTGCCTGGCGTCCTCCGCGGGCCGAGGCCGAACCGTGCCCTGCATGGGGGGGCGGCGGCCGATTCCTTCCGCATTCATTTCGGGCGTCCAAACTTGCGGGCGAGCGGGAGGTGGAGAGCAGGACAGGGGGAGGGGGGAGGGAGGGAGGTCCTCTTCCTCCCCTTCTCATTCCACCTCCTCCCGCTCCACCTCCCGCCTCCCGCGCTCCTCCTCCTCCTCCTCCTCGTCCTCCTCCTCGTCCTCCTCCTCCTCCTCCTCCTCCTCCTCGCGCCCCCAAAGGGCCGAACCTTCTCCGCCCTCGACTCCGCCACAACGAACATAGGCACAGACACCACCTAAAGGATTGCTACTGGGCCTCAGGGGAGGGTGGCGGAGCATGAGTCCCCGCTGGGAGCCGGCGACTACGTACGCCGCCGACCTCCCTGAAGGCACATGCAAAGGGCATTCGAGAGGAGGGAAAGGACGAGGGGGAGGAGGAGCAGAAGGAGGAGGAAGAGGGGGAGGGGGAGGAGGAGGAGGAGGAGGAGGAGGAGGAGGAGGAGGAGGAGGAGGAGGAGGAGGAGGAGGAGGAGGGGAGGAGGAGGAGGAGGAGGAGGAGGAGGAGGAGGAGGAGGAGGAGGAGGAGGAGGAGGAGGAGGAGGAGGCGGAGGAGGAGGAGGGAGGAGGAGGAGGAGGAGGAGGAGGAGGAGGAGGAGGAGGAGGAGGAGGAGGAGGAGGAGGAGGGGAGGAGGAGACGAGGAGGAGGAGGAGGAGGAGGAGGAGGAGGAGGAGGAGGAGGAGGAGGAGGAGGAGGAGGAGGAGGAGGAGGAGGGGAGGACGGAGAGGAGGAGGAGGAGGAGGACGAGGAGGACAAGGAGGACGAGGAGGAGGAGGAGGAGGAGGAGGAGGAGGAGAGGAGGAGGAGGAGGAGGAGGAGGAGGTAGGAGGAGAAGAGGAAGAGGAGGAGGAGGAGAGGAAAGAGGAGGAGGAGGAGGAGGAGGAGGAGGGAAGAGGGAGGAGGAGGAGGAGGAGGAGGAGGAGGAGGAGGAGGAGGAGGAGGAGGAGGATGGTGTCTTTGCACAGACGTCCGTGGCGCAACGGTCCTCCGCCTTGGCCCTCGCGCAGAGGCGAGGCTCTCCGCCTGCCCGCCGCCGCCTCCGCGCGCCCGCCGCCTGCCCGCCGCCTCTCCGCGCAGCCGCGGTGGTGGTGGTGGTCGCCGTCGCGGCAGTCTCAAGGCGGGCGCGGCCCTCTACAGAAGGAGTATCCAAAGATAGTCCAAAATAGTCTGGGGACGGTTTTTTGATTCTTTAATCGCTTCGCTCATTCCGCCGGCCCTCGAACGCTCTATGGGGCCTCTTTGAAGCCTCTTGGGGGCCTCTTTGGGGCCTCCTAGGGGCCTCTTGGGGGCCTCTTGGGGGTCTCTTGGGGGTCTCTTGGGGCTCCTTGGCGGCGTCTTGGGGCCCCCTTGGGCCTCTTGGGGGGCTCTTGGGGGCCTCTTGGGGCGGGGTAGTCGAGTGCACCCCCCTCGGAGGCCACGATCCTCGTGAGGGGTTTCTAAAAAAGGCCCTCAAAACCATCTCTGGGTAGACTTGGTCGGGCTGCGGTCGGGATTCTTTTCGCCGGGGGACCCCCAGGGGCCGCCCCGCGCGCGCGAACTAGAAATTCGCCGGCCCAACGGGCCAGGGCGTGCTAAGATCTCCGGTGACTGGTTAACAGTATTAACAGTATTTCTAGTTCGCGCGCGCGGGGCGGCCCCTGGGGGTCCCCCGGCGAAAAGTACCCCGACCGCCGCCCGACCAAGTCTACTCAGAGATGGTTTTCCTTCTGGGTGCGGCCTCTCAGGCTCCCCAGAGCGCGCTCAGAGTGCCCCAAGAGGCCCCCAAGACTGCCCAAGAGGCCCCCGAGACGCCCAAAGAGCGCTCGAAGACGCCGAAGATGACCCCAAGACGGCCCAAAAGGCCCCCAAGACAGCCCAAGAGGCCTCCAAGACGCCCCAAGAGCCTTCCAAGAGGCCTCCGAAGAGAGCCCCAAGAGGCCAAAATCGTTGATTTTCATTGGTTTTTTCGATGTTTTTTGTGTTCTGGCTTTTTCGGCTTCCGGACGCTCCAAGACGGCCCAAGAGGCCCCCAAGACCGCTCCAAGACGGCCCACGAAGCTCCCAAGACGGCGCCGAAACGACCCAAGAGAGCCCTCAAGACGGCCCAAGTGCCGCCCAAGACGGACCAAGAGGCCCCAAGACGGGCCCAAGAGGGACTCAGGAGGGATACCGAGAACTCAAAAATGGAGCCCTCCGTCCCAGAAGGCGCCCAGGAGGTCCCAAAGAGGCCCCAAGAGGCCTCCAAGAGGCCCCAAGATGTCGCCAAGAGGCCCCAGGAGACTCCCAGGAGGCCCAAAAGAAGCCCCAGAAGGCTTCAAACATGTCTCCCAGGCGCCCCCGAACGGCCTCTCAACAGACCCCAAGAGGCCCCCCAAAGAAGCATCTTGACGACGACTCTATTTCGCCCCATCGAGAGACGACCCCCAGGGAACTGCTTCACCATCAAAACTCCCCACGCAACGCGTCCGAACGACACCCGCCCCCAAGAGCGCAACATGGGCAACGAACACACAGACAAAAACCAGCGATGCCATATCACGGGCCGGCGGAATGAGCGAAGCGATTCAATATTGTTAACCAGTTACCGGAGATCTTAGCACGCCTCTGGCCCGTTGGGCCGGCGAATTTTGGATCAATTGTTTGTTTAAAACTTGTTCGACCAAAATCCGCCTGTAGGGGGACGTGCCCGACCTCATGGTGGTGGTCGCCGTCGGGGTAGTCTGTGGTCGTCGTGGTTGCCTTCATTCGGGGAGGAAGTCAACTGCAGAATCGATGTACCCCAGGTGTGATTTTCCCGCCGAGCCTTCAAACAGAACATGCGTAGACTGTTTTGGAAGTCGGCGGCACGCGCTATGAGTCTTGCGCGCAACTTCGGCGGGAAAATCAGGTTTGGGGTACATCAATTCTGTAGTCGATGCCCTACTCGATTTTTCACCATCGTCGCAGTGGCCGTCGCCCACGCCCAGGGCCCCCCCCCCCCTCCGGCGTGGCCAGAGGCTGGCTGCCGCTCGCCACTCGGCGTGCGGGGCAGCGCGGCGCCGAGGCGGCGTCGCCGGCATCCTCGCCGTCGCTGTCGTCGCCGCCCTCGTGAATTCGCCGTCGCCGCCGTCGACGTCGCCGTCGTCGCCGTGGCCGTCTTCGTCGTCGTCGTCGCCGTCGCCGTCGCCGCC